ACAGATCGAAAAAGAAGCATTAGCTTTACCTTTGGCCGCGGAACGCTTCGACGAATTCCTAAGAGGCCTCACGTTCCTATTTAAGACGGATCACAAGCCTCTCCTCCCGCTACTGGGTCGAGATCCTCTTGATTCTCTACCGCCAAGAATTCAAAGGTTCAGAAGGCGTCTTATGCGGTACTCGTTCACGCTAACACACGTCCCAGGGAAAAGTATTGCTACGGCGGACACACTTTCTCGCGCGAGAGTTATGAACACTGCGCTTTCGGTCGGAGAGTTGACTGAAGCAGACGTTTCGGCTCTCGTGGAGGGAGTCGTTCAACATGCGTTCTCTGACGACATGCTCGAACGCATACGCTCAGAGCAAGCAAACGACCCCGAATGTGCGTCGTTGCTCGAAGCTTGTATGCAAGGCTGGCCCGCTAAGCACTACACACCACAACTTCTCAAGCCATTTTGGGCGCATCGTGGTAACATCTTCGGAGGGTTCACGAGGGACACCAGGGAATTGCACGCTGCCGCGCGAGCGCTAAAGAATCTCTCTGGTGGCCAGCAATTAGCAAAGACATTGCACAAACCGTGGCCAACTGCCAAGCATGCGCCACAGAGCGTACCCGATTTACCGAACCAATGATTCCATCGGAAACAACCCAGCTGCCATGGCAGAAAATCGGAATTGATTTATTTGAGATGAAAGGAGCTGTCTATCTTGCCGTTGTTGATTATCACTCCAGGTATCCTGAGCTGGCCCTGCTGGATCGAGGAACGTCGTCGAAGGCGGTCATCCAGCACCTGAAAAGCTGCTTTGCCAGACATGGGATACCGCAAACGGTAATATCAGACAACGGACCACAATTCATCTCATTCACATTTGCTGATTTTGCAAGAAACTACGACTTTAGGCATGTCACAACAAGTCCTCGTTACCCTCAAGCTAACGGGGAAGCTGAGCGCATGGTAGGGACTCTTAAAACACTTTTGAAGAAGGCAGAGGACCCCTACATCACATTGCTGAACTATAGAAACACGCCGGGTCCAACCGGCTATAGTCCAGCGCAGCTGCTAATGAGCCGCCGTTTACGCTCAAAAGTACCCTGCATGCCATCCGAGCTAAAGCCAGAAGTAGTAGAGCCTTCTTGAAAAGAGCAAGACGAAAAATACAGACAAAAACAAAAGATGTATTTTAACAAACGTCATGCTGCGAGACATCTTCTCTGTCTATCCACAAGACAGAGGCGCCGAGGACACGGTCCTTCGTCCTTCTAAAACACCGAGATCCTACTGGATCCGAACTGAAGGAAAAACCGTACGCAGAAACAGGCGTCATCTTTTCCTTCTCCCACACGGAGGAGAAACAAGCCCCGTAAGAATGGAGCAGCATCCACGAAACAGCAAGCCAACGGACGCGACGGACAAAGACATCGTAATTACCAAGTCGTCATACATCCAAAAGCCTCGTTCATCGAACAAAACATGAAGTCCTGAGCAAAGTACGACGCGATGTGGGCGCGTCATACGAGCTCCGAAAAGACCTTGTATTGACGATTAATTTCTTAAATGTTTTCCTTTTTTTGGCAGGCCCACGATGTTTATAAAACGGGGAAGATGTGACGTCATCCTGCTGCATTTCGTGGACGCCTGCTCCAGAGACAAGCGCCAAGACACGCGTTATCTTGGTTTTCTTTATCCGGTTATCACGGGAGTCATGTGATAATTATGACTATATATTTCACGACGAATTATTAAAGAGGGCTTTTTTTTTCTTGGTCACGATGTATTGGGCGTCTGTCGATCACTCTGACGAGCTTGACAAATGCAGCTGCTGCCGCCGGGATTTGATCCCGCAACCTGTGGGTCAGCAGCCGAGTACCTTAGCCACAAGACGACCGCGGCGGGGCCGCAAAGATGGAGCGACGAAGTTATAATATGAATAATAGCTGGAGTTTAACGCCATACCAATAAAAGCTTGTTGTGCTGAAATTTCCACGTCGACGTCAGCGTCGTTTGTTGGGAGCGAAAACTCATCTTGTCCATCACCTCAATAATAAACAACACTCAAATATTATAAATGTTTAACAATACCCTGTACGAGTGAGGGTGGAACCTAAGCTGTTTGTGTAGCAAAGAGGTGTTCCACCACACAGCCATGCGTCTGCTTGAAACATTAGTGAAGATAACTTCCTCTTCTTCTAACACATTACACTGAATTCATTGAAAACGTTTTCATGCTTTACAAACACATTTGAGTTCTCTATACAGTCTTCACAATACAACATTTAATATCGAATCAATATTGCGTGGTAGAAGCGATCGGGCACCAAAAGCTGCTATTTTCAAAAGACTTCGTCACCAAATGCTCGCCAGCCATAACAAAAGATACACACTTAACTGCCCGTAATTCAATAAACAATGTAGTGCTCGCATAGGAACCTTCAAAAGATTTCAAGAGAATAAATGCTCGTGGTTGAAAGCATTTACCCACTACACAAAAAGAACCACATCTCAGAGCTTCACTGGCACCAGCCACTTTCAACTTCATTGACTAAATTGTACTCAAACCAAGATCCACTTCTCAAATAACATTGTATTATAAAAAGTATGCACTATGTATTTTTGTATGCACTAAGAACAGGATCGTGATCACGTTCAACATTTTTAGGCAAAGTTAGGCGTCGCCCAATTTTCGTCTCGGTTTTTCAGCTAATCGAGACTTGCTCGTACCAATGTGAAGACTGGGCCACAATTTCGGTGCATAGAAGGGACGAAAAGACTGTTCGGCAGGAGGACCCCAGGGACTTCTGCAATGGCGAGAAATGTGCCCGGTTCCGTGACAGGAGAAGCAGATTGGCTTGTCATCGTGTGTTCACTATGCGGACGAATTACGGAACGTTGAGGGAGAGCCAGTCGGGAAGGGACGTGCAGGCGTGTATTGGGGCTGGTAGACGGTGCGGAGAGGCGGTGACATAGAGTGAATTTCCAAGGTGGCGATTTCCTGCCGGACAACTGCTTGAATGAGAGGCAACGTAATTGGAGGAGAGGGGTCAGGGGACGCTGTTCCCACCTTAGCTGGAGCAGCCGCTTCAAGTTCCTGCCTGACCAGTCGCGTCAAGTTGTCACAGGTGTCTGGTGGACGATATGTGTCGAGACCTAAGGACGTCGCAGTGGTGTTCGCAAGGCGCTGGAACTAATGGGAGATGCGCCTGCTTTTAGCTTGTTGGAACCGGCGGCATTCTTGAACGATCGCATCAACAGATGACACATTGTTGAATACTAACAGGTTGAACACATCGTCGGTGATACCCTTTAGGATATGCGCAACTTTTTCAGGCTCGGACATGTTTTCGTCAGCTTGACGGCGTAGTGAGAGGACAGCCTGAAAGTAACCGATGTAGGGCTCTGTGGAAGATTGTGCGCGAGATGACAACTCATTTTTCGCAGCCTCACGACGACCAGAGGTGTTGCCAAAAAGCTCATGGATCTTTTTTTTGAAGCTGTCCCAGCTTGTTATGTCATGCTCGTAAATGTCAAACCAAACACGAGGGGTTCTGTCCAGATAAAAGACGACGTTTGCGAGCATAAGAGTCGGATCCCACCTGTAAGTGGCACTGACGCGTTCGTAGAGGCGTAGCCACTGGTCGACGTCGGAACCCTCGTGGCCCGAGAACACGCCGGGTCTTTGAGTGCGGGAAGCGTCACGAAAATTGTTGCGGGCGCTGAGTTGACAGGCTGGGCAGAAGGGTGGGCAACCGGAGAGAAGTTAGCCGAGTCTTGAGTGGTCATGTTGGAAGTCACGAGGGAGCGTCCGCTTCAGAGTTCCGTGGCGAGGATGGGGATCGCACAACTCCTCCAAATATGTTCCGAGAAGGAGACCGACTCGGAGGGGTAGTCACCGATGTATTTACAGCCGGTTTAGCGAGCAGCGCCAGCCGCACAGATTAGCTTGCGCCAGTCTATCTGCTTTGTGTTCTTTAACTCCATGCACTGGCATGTAGCAATATTGTCCGTGTTTCCCATCATTTTCACACGAAGGACTCCTGGGTTACGTGGAGTGACCAAGTTGCTAAAGATGTCTTCTGGGCTCGCTTTCTTGGACACACACCCCTTGTTTCAGTCCCCTTGACATGTTCTTCGGAGCTGCCCGTACGCACAGGTCTCAAATTCCTGCTGACCTATTCGTAGTTTGGTAATGGCTCCATGCTGTCGGGCTCGATCCTCGGATGGTGTACTGATGACGAGTATGTTTGTTGTTGATGCACTTACTGTCTTCCACAGCCACCTCCCGGCCGACCCCCGCAGCGTTGCGCAGGCAGCAATATATGAAATCTCTCCTGTAATCCGAGACGTCAAGCCTACCACGCGGATGCACAATGACCTTATAATCTTCCGTCGGCAGATTGGGCAGTCGACTCGCCTTGATGATTTGTCGAGCGTTCCGCTCATTATTCCATTTGTTTCCTGGCGCCTTTTCTACAAAGGCGTATTTCTCGCTGAGCCAGGCTTCCGGTCGATGTGCGTCTTGGTGCCTTTTCACATTTCACACCAGCCTGATTCTTTTCCAAACTCTTCTGGTGGTACATCTTCTCTGTCCACAGGTACGACCTCTATTTCGACATCAATCGAGCCTTCGAAGAGGAACGGGGGGGGGGGGGGGCGGAATAGCTCCGACGGCATGTTCGGCCGAGCTCTCCACCTTACAGCGGCGGTGGAGACACTAGCGTCCAGTTCGCATTCGCTGAGCTTAGCTGCTGCGTTGACACGGCGACTCAAAAACCACGGTTGTTGCACCAAAAAGATGCAGCCCACCTGTGAAAACGTGGTGTCCAGAAGATCTCCGAGACTTCCGTCGTCCTCTGGGGTAAAAAATGGAGCTAAGACCTTCGATATTGTGTCAATATTAATTACAAAAACTGCGGAGCCAGTACGACGTGCGTCCGCACTCCGTGGCCCCCAAGCGGCGATCCTGCAGAATTTTGACTTATTTTTTTCTTTTGTGCCCGCAGGAAATGGAGGCTACCTTTGGACGCCTAGGTGCCAGCCCGCCCCTCTTCTCGTGTGGCCTGAAGCCTCAGGAGGAAGAGGAGCTGCGGCAGTTCGTGGCTTCGGGCACGTGCAGTCGCGAGGCAGGTCTGCTCGACCGCGAGGACGACCTCTTGTCACTCTGAATGGGAGCACCGTGACAGTGCAACACTGGTGCAACACTGGTGCGACAATAACACACAGCAAGTTTGACATCTGCATCTGCCGATGCCTCCCGCGGTGGATTCGGCGTCTGGATAAGTCAACAGCAAGTGGTGGCATATCTGATAGAGACTGCAGTTGATTGATATGTGGGGTTTAACGTCCCAAAACCACCATATGATTATGAGAGACGCCGTAGTGGAGGGCTCCGGAAATTTCGACCACCTGGGGTTCTTTAACGTGCACCCAAATCTGAGCACACGGGCCTACAACATTTCCGCCTCCATCGGAAATTCAGCCGCCGCAGCCGGGATGCGAACCCGCGACCTGCGGGTCAGCAGCCGAGTACCTTAGCCACTAGACCACCACGGCGGGGCGTAGAGACTGCAGTGTTGTGAATTGTTGTGTGTATAATTTGTGCAGTGTGGTGGCCTTATTCTGGTCTGTTTCGAGTGAAGTTAACAGACGCAGTTGCACGAGGCTGGGAAAAAAATAAGTACGATGCCCCACTGTGGGTGGGTGACACCATGTGTAACCCCACGCTATTGAACATAATGAGAAATGTGCCACAACTGACCAGTTTACCAGAGCTTTGTTTCTGTGAGTACAACCCTACATTGATTAACGTGTGCCAGGCTTCTGCCCATCATAATCGCCTTGGCATGTCCTTGGGTCTCTTCAGTGACTGTACTGGGCGCTGACTCTAAGCTTGCTGAAGGAATAATTGCACAAAAGACGTGCTGTCGACATCACCTGTCTCCCGTGTTACACCGCATGCAAGGGAGGTCAGTAATAAGCGTTGTGTTAACTAATGAAACGACCGCTCGTTTTTTTTGTTGCATAATCGTAAATCGCTTTTTTGTGCGTCGTTTCCTTTCAGCGCTTGGTTCGCTCCTGTCTGCGCTTGTTTTCAATCATAGATAAGAAAAAGCATATTGCTTGGAATGTCATCTGGCGGCCACTTCATAAGTTTCAGTGTAAAGCAAATATTTCTTTTTGTGGCGTTTTCTTCACAGCTGCACAATATATTTTTAGGGATGTGTCAATAGTGTTACTAGAGGTTCAGCGCAAGCAGAATAGCATGCAAAGGAAATCGAACTGTGTTGTATGTAGAACACCAGCAAACAGTGTTCCAAATTATGGAAGGCCATTTCTACCCCTAATATAAAATGTTCACATCGTGGTGTTCACAATTTTAACATTAAAACCACGAATCAGGCGTTAGGATTGAGTAAGTTGGTTTTCTGTACAAAAACCTTCAGAGTTCATATTGCTGTTTATTTGTGTGCAATCAATGTTCTGAAATGTTAGGACTACTAGAAGCATATTTGCGCTCACGGGTAGCATACATTCAAAATCTTAGAATATTTGCACCCTTCAACACCTCTTGTTTTATTGTTCTAAATGGCGTTAACACCTCTGTAGAGTGCAGTTGGTTTGAACTTGCCAACTAGCACCAAAAGGTAAACTTGGCCAGCTGGTCAGTTTGGCACATTTCGGGCATGTATAGGTGCTCCTGTTTGTTGTCTAAGCCGAGATTGATACTATAGCAAGGGTGCAGTACTGTCCCGAGTTGGCATTTCCAACAGGTCATGCCACAACAGTCAGTCTTATGCCCCATGAACGGTGTCTAAAAGTGCCTAATTTTTTTTCGGCGTAGCAAGCCCAGGTTTCATGTGTGTTGTACATAGCACTCGGTTTTGAATAAGTCCGGAGATGTTTACATATGCTGGCTGCTCTAGGTAGCAGTTGTTATGCATGTAGTTTAGCCTTGAACGCAAGTAACGCTATTGTATAAGGACAGCAGAGGATGACATCCTCCATTATCGTTAAGCATAAGAAAACTGCTGAGGTATCAAAACCAATTTTTTTAACTCGTTGTACTCTCCTCGCATACATCATGCGTAGCAATTTTTTGCCTGTCTTGGAGGCGGTGGTTTGCAGTGACTGCCGAAGCTGCACATCCGACTGATTGTTCTGCCATTAGTTAAAACTGAGAGTTATGACTTGAAGGGATGAGAACAATTGTTTCGTATGGAAATACCAACCTCATCGACTGCTTTTCTCATTAGCTCTTATTTTTCAAGGATCAAAGAAGTGTTGCGGTTATCCTAGCATGATTGCCTGCTAGGTATTCTTCTTAAATTGCGCTGCGCTGTACATGCATTCATACATCATGGCAGAGCTTTGTTAGTGCTAGCAGCTTGGCAGTGTCAGCACTAGTTTTACGAAATTTTCGCCATTGTGCATATCACTGTTGGTGATAATTGATGCAAGGCTTATGAGGTGTCCCTTGTGACTTCGGCAAGGTGCCTCAGGTTTCCTGGGGCAAAGTTAGATGCTATACTGAACGAGATCTGTGCGAATATTTTAGATAGCAATTGAGTGGGGAAGTCTGTGGTATCTGATATAGGCAGCACACGGTGCCCAAGTGGTATTTAACTCGGGTAGGCCTCATATCCCCCACTGCTATCAGCTCTGCTTAACTGTGGCTTCCGCCATCACAGCCTAGCCTGGTAAGCTCTCTCTGGAAGTAACGCGCGGCTGTTGAGAAAGCAAAATGTCCTCTGCCACTCTAAAATCCTGAAAGCACAGCGTCTATGGATGGCCTTGCTTGGCATCTGTCGTACATTCCTTCTTGTCAGGCGAAAGCTCTATGTTGACCAAAGGGTGGCAGTGGAAGCATTAATCTAAACAAAATGTCTTTCACTTACTGAACTTTTGTGTTCTCACATGCTTAAAAGGCAATTTTTGTTTTTCTTGGTGCAATGTTGCATTTTCTTTGTATTCAAGACGTGTGACTGTTGCATAGTTATTGATGCACCCCGCATGTTTTTCTCTATCGGTTGTTTTTAAGGTTGTGTTGTTTTGTTTTTTACCATGTGATATAGGTTCTCTTATGACTGTCAACATTGTGCATTGTTTGCCTATTCGACTTCAGTATCAATCATTGCTGCCCCGCAACGGTTGAAGTTCTAGCAGCGTGTTAGCGAAGTTAAGAAGTGCTCATACCTCCGGAACAGCAACGCAAGCTCGCAACATCTGTTGATGGCCACCAGAACTGACGTCTGTCGTTGACATAGTGCTGATAACGCAGAGGGGCACATACCTGAGCTGTAATTTCTGGTTTAGTATTGTTCAGACAGCATCTACGTTGCGAATAAGAGTTAGGACTGCGACTTCCAAGCAAACACTGAATCCTCGGGCATGCCAGTGCTAGACAATGCATGTTTGCCCACACACTGGAATAGAGGTGCCATTTTTAAACCGCTGCTCTGTGTCCTCGATGGGGACGGTGTTTAAAAGGTTATGCGTGTTCCTTTAGGATAGCGCTAACTGTTGGCGGGATGAGGATGGCAGTGCACTTAGGTGGTGGTGTTTTTAATAGACCGGAGCTTTGAGTGTTCGGTCTCCACCGTGTCAATAATGCGGGGAGCCAGTGTGGCTCGCTGATGGCGTTTAGTGCACATCTTGCATTTGATTGTACTGCTGATACTGAATGCGCTTTGCATTCGTGATTGATGGCGTACGGAGAACAAGTACTATAATGTGATGCTGCTCACAGTGATGTTGGTATTTTGAACATACGCAACACAGTTTTGATTTCACGCCAGAGATTTCACCTCGTTCTAGCGTCACAGCTGGTTGGAAGTGTGCCCCATGTGAAGAGGCTTTCAAAGTCTGGGATCCATGAGGCCTCTAGTTGTTTGTTCGAGAAAGAGAGCTTTTATTCAATGTTGGATGGACTGTACGTTGCTCAGAAGACTGTTCTCCTGCGGCTGTCTGTAAAAATATTGTATTGCATGCGCTGAACGGTATACGACTTTTTTTTTACTGTGACTTTTGTATTTGACTATATGTGCTTTTTTTTTTTAAGAATGACATGACTTTTGCAATCTGGCTGTGATGTTCTGTAGCGTTTGACCAGTTAGCGATGAATGTTGAAAGTTGTCGTGCGGAGTAAAAAGATGCTGTTTTTTTTTTGGTTTTACATATAAATGTAAAACAAATGTATATACTCTATGCACTGACAGTTTGAATTGCTGGGACGGTTGTGTACCTCAAAGGCATTGCTGTTGTTAGTCAAGCCTACGTATAATTTACCACCCAGTCGTGCGCGGCCTGTTGCAATTTTTGGAAAGAGACGATCTATTGTCAGTTGCAGAGGAGAGTGTGCAATTGCTTTTACGTTTAACCAAACCAGATATATAGTGACATTCAAGATATTGCCAATGCATAATGTACGTAGCTTGCCATGTGAGGTACTTTTGGATCAGGCAGTAACGTCTCCATTTTTTCATGTTTGTGTTTACTAAGAGTGGACCATTGCAGTACAAGTTTTGATGATATTTCCTTTTGCCTAATGAGAGAAAAGCAATGAAACGGTTCTATTATAATGAACGCTTCATCTGGATCTAACGTTGCTGCTTTCTTTCCCACTTGGAATCAAAATCTTTATTCTCACAATTGATGTTTCTGTTGTGTTACTGTTGTGTACGCATCTGTATGTTTGTACCTGTCGAAAAAGCTATTGTAATGTGATGAAAGAGAAACTCTTTATCCTTATTCATGTTGTAAAAACCAGCCCAATGTGTTTTGTATTATGGTCAACATTTCAACTGGTCTATAAACACTGTTTTGAAGCTTCTTTCGTTTTATCTGCAATGGGCACCTTCCTTCAGCGTTTGCTTTTGTTAAAGAAGGTTTCTTAAACATGATTTGTTTCGCGAGCAAGACTGAGAGCTTTCGCTAATGATTTGAACCAACTGTCGAGAGCAATGTTTTGCTGTACAGTGTATGAACCATTTTCACCATACACCAGTTCGTGAATGCGCCAGTACGTGCATGTATGGTATCATCTTTGCTTTGCTGCCAAATCACGTGTATGCGGACATGATGCATCTTAGCCAATTGTGACTTTTGCATATGCATGCCATATTGAGAACGTAAAGATATGGCTTTGCTGCAGTTGGCAGGCTTGTGCTTATCTGGTCTGCGACATTGAATGTATGAATCCATGTACAAAGGTGTAATACTGTAATAATTACTCTGCGCTCAGAAAGTATTTGTATGCATGTCTACTGTTGTTTCAGCCCAGGCTGTTGGCACCCAGCAAACATTGTTTTAAAGATAAATAGTATGCGTGTTTTTCAGTGTTAGCGACACTTAAAGCAGCTAATTTTTATAGGGGCTTAATCTTTGAAATCACTAATTATACACAAATAGCCCTTTTCTGGAAACGAGGTGTGTTGTAAATCTGAATTTAACGGTATAGGGCATGAGGTAGTGTTCACACATTTGCGCTGCAAAAAAAAGGTGCCTGCTTTGTTTTTTCAGTCATACTGACCCGTAAATGGGACATTGAGTGCATGTGTCGGCAGTTGCAAAAATAGTTTTATCACACGCTCGGTGTCGTCACATTGGGTCACAGCTATGTACATGCTGTAGCTTTTTGAATCTCGCTTTCAACTTACTGCTCATTCATTGCTACTTGCTGTCTGCAAGCTGAAAGTTAAGTGCATCTGGTTGCTCGGTTGTGAAAATTGCATCGACTCATCGTAGCAAGAGGAGGTGAAGTCGGCGCTAGTTTGAACAAGTGAAAAGGAGAGATGTACGGCCCACTTCTAAACGCGGAGAATGCACATTCAAATTTCTCTCATGTGATGTTATGAATGGTCTTCGCCATTCAGGTTTACAAGTCATGCATTTTTACAGTAACTTCACCTCCCGTTTCCACAGCTCCGTGTTATAATCGCCACTCTTGTTGTTTTTTGCACATTGTTTAATGCTGTGTTTGTGTAGCCATCAAGCGTTCAGTGTCACCATGCCGGCATGCATTAGTACTAGAAAATGCTTTCTCCTCGGTTTTCGCTGAAAAAAAACGACATGAAGCTCATGTGATAATATCGCGACAGAGCACCCAATGCCTGTGTAAATGACACATGTAACATGCTCTAAATTGTGGTAGTTGTGTTGCTTGGTGACGATGGGTAGCATTGCCATAGGACCTTTAGAAAACAGCATTTTACAATTTTGTGCACGCAAACTGCCGTGCTACAAAAGATTGTTAAATTCAGGTGCGATGTTGATGTTGTAATTTTACCAGTAGTGTCGCAGACTCGCCTCTACCCCTAAAAATAAGTCGCTCACGTCTACCATATCTGAAATTCTGCACTGCAGCACTCTCTTGAGACGGTATTGATATTGCTTTTCATGCCCCTGTGGTAAAAATTTGTCAGAACTCTATTAGTTTCTTGCATTTAGTGCTTTTCTTTTACCCATGTTTGATGTTTGTCCTCGTTATTATTCTTTTTTGCCAGAGTGAGTTGCGTGCTATTTGCAGAAGCACTGCGGGTGGTGCACAATGGTTACTGGGGTTTTTTTCGCACGATTTATTTTGCCGTTGAGGTGCAAAAAGTTAAGGATTTGTTTCTTATTATTTTTTTGAATAAAGGTTTAAAAGTTTCATGCCAACTGTGGACTTTCTGCTGATTACTTCACAACGCCAAAATTTTTTTGTATGGTTACAGATTTACTCATATGTGAGTACAGCCTTTGTATTAAGACGGTTTTACCGGTTAAGACACAAGTGCGTACTCCGCAAGAAAGTTATGCGAGGAAACTGGAGGCTCAAAAGGTCATTTAGGGGGGATGAAGGGTATTCTCAACGTAAGAGCAACCGCGTTCAAGTGTCACTTGCACCGTGCTCAAAGTCACCACAGTCGCAGAATGCTGACGCCGGTGAGTTTCACGCGGAACACGGACACAGTGGCCAGACGCTGCGTCGGCCGCGTGGCGGAATGCAACCGTAGAAGGCGCATGACCGATTGTGTTGTCTGTACAGTTGCTGAATTAATGACGTGAAAACACTCACTGTTGTCAGTGCATCTAGCGCGCAATCTCTTGTACTTGCTTTGTTGTCGGTAAGCTGTTACTCACCGTTAATACTCGGACGAAATGATTTCGCCGAAGGTGACGCGCTGGGCCAGTGTTGAGCCCTGTTTCATTAGTATCGGATCGTCACGACACGCGCGCGGTGCAGCTCACGTGTTTTCCGAGCCGGAGAGAGAGAGTCGTGCCTTCTGTGGTGCAATGGGTATACAAATTCGAAATCCGGATGGAGGCGGCCTGCTTTACATTCAGATGTAAACAAAAGAAGAGAATTCGCCCAGTCAATATGGCCGACTTCCGGCTTCATCGTGGCTTCACAACAAGTGACGTCAGGGCCTCTTCTACCTTTCTTTTCTCCATGCTTCCCGTAGTCTATATTTCTCAGCGGCTGGTTGCGAGTGCGTGGCCATGGCGCATGCTTAAAAAGTTATGTGTTTGGTGACATTCCAGTCCCGTTTCCTATTCAAAAATAATTTTTAATGCAAACCGTGTGAAAGTGCGTCACAGTTTTGTCTCTTGACGTGGTCAAGAACTGCACACGCTAAGTGGCGACAGATGCACTCAATTTTTTAAACGCTCTCAAGCCGAAACTGAAACTGATTAATAATGAGGGGCCCCTAAATAATTATTTGTCGCGTGCTTAAGCAAACGATGTGTCGTGTCATGACTAACAGGCCCCCAGCAACGCATTGCAGCAAAAAATGCGAGGCCAAGGTTTTTTTGTCAGTACTCCTTTAAGGATGAACTCTGAAGGTGATGACAAATCAATCAGTACAATTGGAATGACCAGAGGAGGGCATGCTAGAAGGAACACATTCTCGATCACAATTGGCTCCGTTCAGGAAAAAGATATGCAATGGGCGCGACTAATTTGATTCTCGTCGCTGCTACGTTGTCTAACCTGAACGGGATGTAGTTATGCGCAGACGTCGACCAAATTCCGATCTCTCGTCCAGATTATGATGCACATACAACAATATTCTTGATCTCGATCGAACCTGATCGCGATCAAGAGTGACCGCGTAGCCGCAGCAGATCCGGATCGACCCTGATCATAATCAAAGCTTCCCGTTTGACGATGTGCTGCCCATCACACGATACTAAACAGGTAGAGTGACACAACAGGCATGGCGCATGTTCTATCGCGATCGAGCACAATTGTGATTACATTTCTTAGTCGCGATTGCGTTATTGGTGAGAACACATGAGAGAAGGGAAAGATAGCCAATCAGTCCAATCACAGTCGTACAAGTACCGAAAACAAAACTGCATCAAGCCAGAACTTATTTCGTTTTTACATATGCAGTTTATTAAAACTGTTACATGTTGTTTGTATTGATTTTAGTTATTAATAAATTATGTCCAAAGCGTTACGCCTAATTGATGATACAAACTCGTTGGTACCGACTGGCGCGTCCCCAAGCGTCGACTTCGGGCGCGGGTGCAGCGCGGGTGCATGGGCGCGGGTGCAGCGGACAGCGGCAGCCGGAAAATTCAAACGAATTGGTTGCTCGGTGTTCTGCAGTGGCTCTGCGGCGCATAGCAGTCTTGTTTCACTCGCCCTGCTTACTCGTGACGCCTGCTGTTGCGTCTCGTCGTCTCTCTGCACGTCGTCCTTGTGCCAGAAAACGTTCTCACCGTCATGTGAGTATCATTTCGAAGCACTCGGTGAGCTCACGCTTTCTTGCCCGATGTAATCACGAGCTCCGTCGTGATGTCCTCGTTTGAAAAGCTTTCCGAAACTCAGCTGCCTTACAGAGAGAGCCACGACATTGCGTCGTCAAGGAATTGACAAGAGCAGTGTCTTACATAGAAGAAATTTAACGGCGTTTCAAGAACAGCGCGTCCTCACGCATCGTTCGCGATCTTTGGCATTAGCTTGGTGCCACTTTTTTGCGAGCTACGTGAATTGCTTGAATTGCATCTGAATACGGCTGCGAGCCCAGACGAGATATTGCTTTTTCCAATGTCGATGGTATTCAGAAGTCTTATGTGCTTTGACTCTGCCGAAGCTCTCTCTCTCGCAGCAAGTGGCGCAGTCTGGTGGCATGTGTTTCCCATTTGATCAATTTGCCGGGTGTAGCTGTCGCACCCCAACACTTCACTTGTTCTACTGACGCCTCTGCATGGTTCAGTAGCGGAAAACGTCTGCTAGCTGCTTAGTTCACAATAACTATCGATATGTGGCTGTTCTGTACGACTTCAATTTGTTCAGATTTCTTCGCTGATGTTGAGGCAGTTTGTCGGGAGATTTATGGCTACACGCGTACAATCGCAAGGTGAGGCTACGCGCAAGGTGAAGAATTTGGGGATTCGGTACGTGCGCATAATTCATCGTGTCGCTTTCGGCATATGAAATCTGATCATCGCTGTCATTCGACTTCGTTCATCAATGTCCTACCCCCATCAACTGTACTCACCATTCTGTTATCATTGAAGGTCGGCCAAGAAGTGGTGTCTCCAGGACTTTGAGATTGGTCGGCCACTTGGCAAGGGCAAGTTTGGCAATGTGTACCTCGCACGCGAGAAGACAACCAAGTACGTCGTCGCACTTAAGGTAAGTTTGAAGCTTGTCTGCAGCCGTGTTTTGGCACTGACAAGCATGCCAGCTCAGGCAAGTAATACTTCCTGCATTCTAAACATGTAGCTGCTAACGAACATGGTCGTCCCAGTTTAATTGCGCACTGCAGGTAATGTAATGATAAAATTGCTCACTAACAAATGTATTTGTTTACTGTGCATGTGTTTATTCTTAAATAGCACCTTGCAAGGTCAATGCATCACGAGCAAAGTAGTATGGTGCATAGATAACACCATAGCTAGAGTGTTTATAACAGCATCAAAGGAGTGCTGACACAAATTTTATATATTTTCGGATTCTTGTTGTAAGTAATAACACTGGTGTCGAGTGCCTTAAAAGTAGTATTGTGGTGTTTAAATAGGCGTTGAATATATCAATACCGCTGCTGGTTGTGGAATCGTGGGGGTGACTTCCCAGTAACATGTCATTGCAGTGTGACGTCACAAGGAGACAATAATTCACGAGGCTGGCAGTGGCAGACCTTTCATGTGCTGGAGGTGCATAAAAACAGAGATAAGTGAATTGTCATGCAGCAACACCAAAAGCATGCAAGACACTCAGGCATAGAAAATGGCATTCGGTAGCGAAGGCATTGATTTCCTGAACGAAATTTTTTTTCGGCGGCGCTGCTACACGTTCAAAGCGAATGACATTTGTCTTGATGATGTCGATCGCAGCAACTTCCTCGTGAGCATTGGGTAAGTAGCAATAAAAATAAACAAGCTTTTGCTAGCTTCATACACATTAGATAATATTTTAATGTATAAATAAGTATATCACGCCGTTATCAGATTTCGTTTGTTACTTTGTTTAACCACATTGCAACTGACCGTGTAGCAACCTAGGCCAAAGCTTGTCAGATCCACAGCTTAAAGGAAAATGGTGCCTGTCGCATTTATTTTACAGTATCTTCCAGCTGAAGATCCTACAGTATCTTCCGGCTATTGCCAAAACTCAGTTGAATGAGTTTTGGCAATAGCATTAGGTGACGAATGGCATTTGGGCGAATGCCATTTCATTCATCCGTGTGGCACCGCGCGATTAACATTCAATCTTAAGGCATTAAGAGGTAAATGCCATTTTCTCTGCCCGTGTGGCACGGGTATAAGTTCCCAAACTAAGTGAGAATCTGTTGATGGTGATATAGTCATATCGTCTGGATCGGGTTGCCTGTACTCATTGTGTAGGGTAGTCTCAAACAATATTGTCGCGATGAGTCACAAGTACTGGGGGATTTATTAAACCACCAGGTAGCTAACACTAGGACGATGCGTCAGTCGTGGCTGGCTCTCGAGCAAAGAAGCACGCGATCTTCTTTTTTCCTCCAGATTGAGAGCCGCTCTTGCTGTCAACCCACTACGTGCTGGTGGCATTATCCCCCCTTCCGAAAAGAAAAAAAAGAAGTACCAAAAGAGGAAAGGAAAGTACACAGCAGCACCGCGATGCTACTACATAGGCACGTGAAAAAAATGGAAATTCGGATGAAGTGAAAGTAAAAATTGAAGAGCGTGCCAACATAGGAAACGTCAATGAACGAGAAAGTAAGTTCACAAAATAAACAAAAAACACAAAAAACGCTGTACGGTAAAGGAAAAGTTACGAACAACGCGCAATAAATGGCTTCATGCGCAACACATGACTACGTCCGGCCTCAGCCGTGTCCTGCTCCGTGCATGGGGTGTTGAGTCCGGAACCACTTCGTAGTTCAGCGTCACTGACGCGACGTAACACTTATATGGGCCAAAGTACCGGCTCAGCAACTTTTCACTGAGGCCACGGCGGCGGACGGGCAGTCCACACCCAAACTTGATCTCCGGGGCTGTAAACACTTCTCTGTGGCGGGTATTATAGCGTCGTGCGTCTGCCTGCTGTTGCTGGCCGATGTGCAGTCGCGCGAGCTGCCGGGCTTCCTCGGCACGCTCTGCGAATTCTTCGGCGTCTGTTGCCAACTCGTCTTCGTCCTGACACGGTAGCATTGAGTCTAGCATGGTCTGCACTTCGCGGCCGTAGAGAAGCCGAAATGGCGTGAATCGCGTGGTCTCTTGCACGGCGGTATTATACGCGAAGGTCACGTAAGGCAAGATCCGGTCCCTACGTTTGTGCTGTACGTCGATGTAAATTGAGATCATGTCTGCGAGGGTCTTATTCAGTCGTTCAGTAAGTCCGTTGGTTTGCGGGTGGTACGCAGTTGTCCTTCGGTGTCTGGTGTTTGCTCAGTTTGAAAACTTCGTCCCGTAAGCTGCGCCGTGAATGCCGTCCCTCTGTCCGTTATTACACTGGAAGGAGCACCGTGTCGTAACACAATGTGGCGCATGAAAAATTGTGCTACCTCAGAAGCCGTGGCTCGTGGGATCGCCTGGGTTTCAGCGTAGCGTGTCAAATAGTCGGTCGCGACGATCACCCATTTGTTGCTGTCCGCAGACATAGGAAATGGCCCCAGAATGTCCATGCCGACTTGGTCGAACGGCGTGCAGGGTGCTTCAATGGGCTGAAGCAAACCAGCTGGCTTAACAGACTGGTTGCTTTCGGCGCTGACATTCCCGACAGCTCTTTACGTACTTCTTTACGCTTGCTGAAAGTCCTGGCCAATAGTACCTCTCGCTCACTCTGGCAAGTGTCCTTGAGTAGCCCAGATGACCGGATGTGGGTTCGTCATGGCAAGCAAAGAGGACGTCGTCTCGCATGTCTCGAGGAACCACCAGGAGGTAAGCACGATTGTTCGAACGAGCGTTCTTCTTGTACAGCACACCGTCTCGTAGGCAGAACGACGTCAACGAGCGGGATAAATGACGTGGTATGATTGCGCCCTGGCCCTCTAAATGATCAATGCTTGGACGAATCTCTGCATCATCTCGCTGTCGTTTGCTCAAGTCTGATGCACTAACGGCGCCGAGAAAGCCTTCGTCTTCCTCTGCTTCCTGACTGACGACATGAAGGGGTGCGCGTGACAGTGTGTCAGCGGCTTCATGCTTACGGCCTGACTTATGGACGATGGTGACATCAAATTCCTGTAGCCGCAAACTCCACCGTGCTAGCCGACCTTAAGGGTCACACAGGCTTTCCAACCAAGAGAGCGCGTGATGGTCCGCACTATCGTGAAGGGACGACCATAAAGGTACGGGCGGAACTTGGTGATTTCCCACACGACTGCGAGGCAGTCTTTCTCCGTAGTGGAATAATTCGCCTCGGCACGCGATAGAGAGCGGCTGGCGTAGGCTATCACTCTTTCGATGTCCTCTTGACGCTGAACGAGCACTGCACCGAGCCCAATGTTACTAGCGTCGGTATAGACCTCCGTGTCGGCATCATCGTCGAAATGAGCGAGAACGGGCGCTGATTGCATGCGCTGTCGCAGCTCAGCAAAAGCTGCTTGTTGCTCGTTTTCCCAGACAAACGGTGTGTCGTCCCTTGTGAGACGAGTCAGAGGTTCTGCTATCTGTGAAAAGCCATGAATGAATCGGCGATAGTAGGCGCACAAACCAAGGAAGCGCCGGACGGCTTTCTTATCGAAAGGAGCTGGTAATTCGGCAACAGCGGCAAGCTTGTCCGGATCGGGACGGATTCCTTCGGCGCTAACTACATGTCCAAGAAATTTTAGTTCTTTATAGCCGAAGTGGCACTTCTGTGGCTTTAGTGTGAGGTCCGCCGATCGGATAGCCTCCAGCACGCTGCGCAGGCGGTGAAGGTGCTGCTCAAACATGGTAAAGAAGACCACCACATCATCAAGGTAGACAAGACAAGTCTGCCACTTGAGCCCTGCGAGGACAGTGTCCATTATTCGCTGGAAAGTTGCCGGTGCTGAACACAAGCCAAAAGGAAGCACTCGAAATTGGTATAGGCCGTCTGGAGCCACAAAGGCTATTTTCTCACGGTCTCGCTGATCTACTTCGATTTGCCAATACCCGCTTTTGAGATCGAGAGAAGTGAAATAATGGACACGACGAAGTCTATCCAGCGAATCGTCGATACGTGGCAGCGGACACACATCCTTTTTCGTCACGTTGTTAAGCTTTCGGTAGTCGACGCAGAAGCGTAGCGACCCGTCCTTCTTTTTGACAAGTACGACTGGAGATGACCACGGGCTGTTAGATGGTTCAATGACGCCATCGTCAAGCATCTCGGTGACTTGCGTACGTATTGCTTCACGTTCTTTGGCCGACACGCTGGTAGGGGTTCTGGTGTATCGGACGTGCGTCCTCGTACGTGATGATCCTGTGTTGAGTGATGGACGTCTGGCGGATCTTTGAGCAAGTTGCGAAGCAAGACCTGAACTCGAACAAGAGCGCTCGTAGTGCAGTCTGGTTAACGGTGGACAGATCAGGATTGATGTCAATATTACTCATTGACGTGTCGGCGGTATCCACTATTTCCGACGTGAAACAGTTGGTGACGTTTGCTACTTCGTGGGCAAACGCTATCGAAGTGCCACGGAAAAGATGTCGATGCTCGTTGCTAAAGTTGGTTACGAGCAATTCAGATCGACCATCACGAAGGTGTATTACACTTCTAGCTACACAAATGCCTTGCTGCAGGAGGTGTTCTAAATTTGTCTCAGCCACCACATCGCCATCGCCCAAACCACAGCAAGTTACGTCGACTAAAACACTTGTTCGGGGAAGAAGCGTCACACTCTGTTCAGAAATACGGAGTACGTCGACACGCCTTCCACCATCCTGCACGTTGATTGCTCGCTGGGCTGAGAACGTGACGTGGCGCTCTTGCAGATCAATGATAGCTCCATTTTCTTGTAGAAAGTCAACTCCCAGAATGACGTCACGGGAACATTCGCGTAGAACAAGGCAGCTTGCTACGAATGTGTACCCTTGAATCTGTATTCTAGTTGTGCAGGCACCCAGTGGAGTAACGACGTGGCCACCAGCTGTCCGAATCTGCGAGTTATGCCACGGCGTGATGACTTTCTTCAGCTGCGTTGTCACTTTCCCGCTCAGTATGGAATAGTCTGCGCCGGTGTCCAC